TCTTTCCCTTTCTCTGCCCCACCAGGTATGTGTCTTGTTGGTCTAAACATCTTCTCCAAAAACCCATACATTTGTTTGCCTTTCCAGTTTTTGAGCATAGTACACATAGCTAAATGTAGATTAAATGTAGTAATTTAGTTCTGTATTTGAAAGAGGAGGGGCATATAAGGAGCTCAAGGATGTCTTCCACAGGCATTTTTTTGCTGTAAGTAGTGTTTGTTTTCACTGGCTGTTTTATGGAGATTTATGCGTCTATGAAAGACAAGCAGTGAGAAGACTGGAGCACTGTGAATGATGCCCTTAGGAAGAGCTGTAAGGAGCTGTTCTTGGATTATTGGGTGAGAGAGGCACAGAGGTATGAGCAAAGGTATCAACTCCTATTGTCCTTTTGTTCCTAAATTCAGCACAAGTGTGTATACTCTCTGTAAAAAAGACAAAACAAACAAAAAAACCATCAACACCCCCCCCCCCCCCCCAAACCCCTGAGGTTATCTGAATCTCTGTGATCCATTTCACTTATTTACAGGTATGATACTACCTTAAAATCACTCCCAGTTAATTAATTTTTCAGATATATTCTTCTCCTTTCCACTTCTCTTTTCAAAGAGGATTATTGGAGATTGACAGTTATACACTGTGATCTCTAGCATATCCTTCTGAAATTCATGAGCCAGTTCTTCTCTGCGTGTTTGCTTGTCCCCTGACAGCTGAGGAGTTCAAAAACTACACTGCCTGAATAAACCTCTGTAGCTGGTGCAAGGCTTCTGTCAAAGTTACAGCAGCAAGCCTATTTATGCCGAGGCCTTATCGCAGAAATATCTCTCAAAAGATCTTATGGCCGATTTAAACAACTACTGCTTTTTTCCTTTCGCAAGAAATAATGTTTTTTCTGGATTTATTCCAGTAGGTGGCGTTTCTAAGCTGCAATACAGACGTGGCCTTCCAGCAAGCCAAAGCTGAAATAGCGTCAACAGGGAATGTGTGTGTGTGTGGTGGTGGTTGTCGTTCTCAAGTGTATCTTATGTTTTGTGCATTTGCAAATAGGTTGCTGGCATGATTTGGTCCTGTAGACCTCCAGGTCATGTTATCTGAGTGTTAACATCTGGCATTGAAGAAGGCAAGGCAAGTATTCAGAGTTTTTGGAGAGGAATCTGAATGCTGCTTCATTATTTGTTTGACTGTCTATTCCTCTCTTGCAAAATTAAGTACTTTTCTAGTGATGCACATGGGACAAAATAGAAGAATTTAACATAGTTTTGGGAAAAAAAAGATATGCATTTCCTAATCTTGTAGTTTGGCATTTTGTAAGTAGTTTGGGATTCTGTTGCCTAAGCAATTTACTTTTCTGTTCTCACTCAAGTTCACAGTATTTGTAATATTTTAACCATATAACAGAAGTTAGTCATGTCACACAAATGCTATAAAACGTTTTAGCTGGGTGGATGTAACTTGCCTAAGTATTTTCTTTTAGAAGTATGTTGGGCTTAGATTTAAGGGTCTGTATTGAAATATGGTGATCTATGCTTTAGAAAAATTATTTTGTAATAAGGTGTTGCAGCAGTAAGGCTGAGTTAGACGGAATCAACAGTTTTAAATGTAAGCAGAAGATCCTGTAAATTAACTAGAGAAATTGAAAACATAGACTAGTAGCACACTTCAGAGTCACAGAATAGTAATAATTTATGGAGACGTTGACCACAGAATCTTGTGCAGTTATATTTTCATCACATTTTTAGCATGACTTTGGTAATTATTTCAAGATCTTTGCTGTAGTGCTAATAGATGCATATGAAACAAAGTCTGCTTTATAGAATGTGAAATATGAAATGTCTGTTCTGTGGTTTTAGAACGCTTTGATTGAATTTAACTGGAAATATCATAAAGATAGTATGTTATTTAGTTGCTCAGTTGGTAGTGTTTGTAAGTGAACCATCTGCAGAAAAGGTTACTAACAACGTTATCATCTTTCAAGAGGAGCTTAGATCTTCCTCGCTGCATACAAAAGATCATGCACCAAGCACCAACTACAATAGGCAAATTTTAAAATTTTTTGAAGATATTACACTCTTTTTTAAAAACAAAATATTGAATGTAGGTTTTAGGGAAAAGGGGGGAAAATCAGAAAATTTATTAGCAAATAACTTACAGCAAACGTTGTTTAATCATCGAGATAGATATATGTTCAGGGTCTTCTAACATTTTTTGAGTGCTTAAAGACCAAGTATAAGGTAATCCCTTCGTTACCAGTTAGTGAGGTGTGGAGTGAAGCCCAAGCTAGATAACTGGGCTGGGCTTTTTTACCTTGGATTTCCATGCTGGCCTTGCTGGAGCTGGGGCGTTTGGTACAAACCAGCAGCAGCAGGGGTGAAGTGGTTGGGGTGTGAGGCGGTAATGGAAAGCGAAGGAGGAGTGGGCTGCTGGGCATGGAGGACAAGTGAGGAGGAGGGGCAGTGGCAATGAGGCCCGTGCAGTTGCTGGGGACCAATGACCACCATTCTGTTCATTTGTACGTCCCTACAGCAAGAGATGCTCAGGCATCCAATTCCTGTTTTTTCTTTAAATAATAGGGGGGACGTACAAATTCACCTGGTCTGGTGGGTATTTTAAAAACTCGCAAGGTGTTTTACATCTCCTGGGAACTGCTAACATCCTCTAACTTTAGCTGCTACAAGAGGAGGCTTTAAGGACCCTGGCATCTAACAGAATTGCAATTACAGGAGGCAGAAGAGACCTTAAGGTTGAGGGTAGTGAGGGTATTTGTAGCTCAGCTGGTCGGAGGGTTGGTTAACAGCAGAGGTCCAGGGCAGGAGCTGACGCTGAAGATGCATGCTTGCTGCGTTCCTTTCTGTAGTTCTGGGAGAAGAGGGTGTTTTGGTTTGCAACTAGTTAAATTTAGCATCCATGTAATGTATTTCTTATGGGTGGTTGCAAAAGGAAGTAGGGATAAAAGCCAGATGTTTTGTCTCCATGTCATGCTTATCACGTTTTTAACTCACCCATGTGGTAAGAATACAGCAGCCTGGAGGGCAATATGACTTTTCTAAGAAGGAAGAGATTACAATTAGAAAAGCCATTTCTGTAGTATTAATGGCCATGCTTTCTTTGAGTTTGTCTTTGTAGGTACACTTTACAACCTGGTAAATAAAATATTTTTGCTTGCTGTACTAGAGAGTCTTAGTTTTTAATAGGTCTGTGGCTGTTAACATATGCTGGAATTATCCTATGGGGGAGGGAAAGACTCTGTGTGAAAGGAGGAGGAGGAGGAGGACTCTTTGTCTGTTTCTTGTTGAACCAGAGGAGAAATCCTCTCTTTCCACTGTCCTAACTGGAGTAAATAACAGTACACACTGAAATGATTTACTTAGCTTTAGAGACTGTAGCATGCAATGCAACTCTGGGGAGAAAGCTAGAATCATGCAAACTTGGCTCCTGAGTTAAGGGCACACACCAGCTTGCTTCAGGACTAGCTTATTATCCGTAATGCTCTCTTGCCTTGTGCAGCGTAAATACACCCTGCAGATAACTTTTTGTCTGAAAATTTTGTGTACTGGCTGAACTGGCCAAAAATCTTGGGGGTGTTAACGGTCAAAGGTAGCTTGTGCACCTCCAGACCAGAAGGGCTGGAATGCTGTTTTGTAAGACTGTGCATAACAAATTAATGACTGTAGGCTCACCCAGAAACTGGATCTACAGTGTGTGAGAAGGATCAAAAACAGAGGGATGAAAGAAAAATACGGGCAAGCATATTTTCCCTTCCTTATGCATTATAGCAAAACACTGCTCTAGATGAAGGCAATCTAACTTCACATGGTCTCTGCTCTGCCCAACTTGGAGAACGTGTTTCTCACTTGCCGAAGACAGTCTGTGTTTATCACAGGACTTCATCTGATAAACAAACTCGTGTGAAATGGAACTGCTCCAGTGGAAGAAGCTGGGGCAAAGAGCTGGACGTGCATCACAGGCGCATTTGTGTGTGCGGGGGGTGTATGGACAGGAGCACTCTCACAAGTACCAAGGAAACTGTATGTTGTAGAGGGCAGCATTAGACTGCTCTCAGTGAATGCAGGCTCCTGCTGGCTTAGTGGTGCGTTGTAGTTGTGCTCGTGTATAACTGAATTTCATTTTGTTCCATGTGCTCTGAACTCTGAAAGCTAGGGATTTTTTTTCTTGTGTTAAACAGTAAGATGTTATGTTCTTCTCCTAGTGAGCTTGTATTTGAGAGAAACTCTCTTTTGTCGGTATGAATGCAGCTGCTTGAGAGGAGTGTGCTAGATGCTCTTTGAGTGATGCTATGTACGCTGTCTTTTTATGGGTTGGTTTTTTTTTTTAAGCTTCAAAACTTGGCATAGTTTTTCTGGCAAAGATGTCTTGAACTTCAAATAACTAAAGCTTAAGAAGAATGTATGGAATAAGATTTTGGAGTAGCTTTCTAGTTTCTTTAAACTGTCTTGAAATGTTTGTATATACAACATTTTTACTTTGTGATATGTAGAGCACAGAAAAGTTTTGTCTTTTGATTCCCAGCATCTAAGATACTAATGAAATAAAAGTTATCGTGGTCAGCTGCAGGATTTACCATTTCTAATTTACTTTATATGGCCTGTTTTGTCTGCTTAATATGGTCACGTCACAAGTTTCAACACTTCCACTCTCAGTTGCCAGGTTTTGTTAGTGCATGTTTGTGGATGACTACCTTGCTAGGCTATTTCCATTGATTACTGGATAGCTTGTTCTCAGTTAAGTAGAACACACTGTACAATAATTAATTAACTCTGACCTTATTATTCTGTCTGTTGGGATTTTGAGCTATAGTTCAGTGTCTGCATTAACGGAGGCAAAAATGTTCTGGTATAATGGTTTCTCTGTAATGTTGACATTTAGTACTGGATACTTGCAAAACATTTTATGCTGATGTAGTCATGTAGCCTATGAAATGTGAACTGTGAAATTGAATAATAATAAAAAAATAATAAGGCAGACTAGGACATGTTTTGGATTTCTCTTTTCTTCCTGTTGGGTATGATGCACAATAGGATCTCTTGCACAAGTAGGAATCCCTCGAAGCTTATCCAAAAACTGAAGATAATTTATAATGTAAGGTAGAGTATTTATTAAAAATGAAAATGCTACTACTCCATAATTACATGATTCCAAAAAGTGGAATTGGACGAGGTTGTGTAGGACAAGCACATTAGCAGGTAGGAAACATAGTTTGCCCGTTTCCTTAGGCAGGCCTCAAAACTGCCATGTGGTGGATGAGTGTACTAAAGCGTCTGAGGGCTTTAATGGAAAAGATAATTCTCAGCTTAGCCCTGTTTGTGTTGTGTATTTGGTGTGTTTTTAATTTCTAAGCTACTGGCCTTGGCTGGAGGCTGAATGTTAGGTTACATGCACCGTTGCTTATGATTGCTGGTAGCAGTGCAAACTGCTAGCAGAACACCTAGGGAGTCAGAAATTTTGGGAAGCGCGTGTAGTTGGAAGTAGTGGCCTCTCTGTTTAAGCAGTTTTTCTGCCTGCAATGGAGTCATAAACAAAACAGAGCTTTTAGAGCATACAGTACAGTCAGGCATCTGTATAGCACTGCTGTTACACAGTGACAAGGTGTTTTAGACGGTAAGAATTTCTTCAAAGCATGCTAATCCCAGAAATAAATGATTCAGGCATCTGCCTTACAGAATAACTGCCACATTAATAAGAAGAAATAAGAAGATAAATATTCTGAGAACCCACAGGTGAATAAGATTATGGGAGCTGTTCAGACTTCATGCAAGCTGTGTATTTGTCCAGACCCTGTTTGAAACACTAAAAAGAAGTTCGCTTGCCTAAAACTGGAAAAATCTGTCCTGACTTGGTTAGAACAGAAATGACCTTGTAACTCGATGTCTTGCAAAGGAAAGTGGGAAACCTTCATGTTCTGGATGTGCTACCGTGTAAAGGCAGGTCGTTGAAAAGAACATCTTTAAGGGTCAGAGCAGCAGTGGAGTGCATCAGTACTGCCACACGGCTGTCCTGACAGGGTTCTCCGAGAACTGGTACTGTTGGACCATTGCTTTCGCAATCCATCAAGAGGCAACAGAGCAGACTGCCAACTATAACACCTTGTGTCTGCAAGAAAGAGCCAGGAAAGCAAACCTTAAAATAAAAAAAGAACAAGATGAGGTTGTAGCTGTTGAATTTCATAGATAGGACCTTTGATCCTTAGAAACACTGTCAATATCTACATAGATATCTACATATTTATAAGTATTTGCACATTTGCAAATGTCAGTCCACTGAGAGATGTATCTGGGAAATTCAGGAGTAGGAGAAAAAAGCAAATCAAGTCTGAAATAGTCACACAGGCTGAATTTTGTGTAGTTAGATGATCACACTGCCAGTACACCTCCAGCAGTCCTCAGGGTCATGCTCTGAAATAGCCAAGGGGTGTAGAGGAAACTCCAGTGAGAGGATGCCAATGAGGTGGCTTAGGGCAGAGGGAGTAGGCAATGCAGGATGACTGACTTGCAGAACAAATCCAAGCTGAGGTAGAAGCTCTTTATGATGATGTTTGCAAGTGGAAACTTGGACCAGTATGTTAAAGGTGAGAAAGCATTCACACTGAAAGCAGGCATAAATTGTCAAACAAACTCTTATTAAAGTACCTGCTACTTACTACTCCTGAATTATCTTTGTTATATACTGTTGAAACAGTGCTACAGTTAATGGTATGAAAAAAGGACTGAGATGCATGCAGGTTGACTTGGAGCATGACAATGTGGGATATACATGGACAAACTGAGACAAAACATAGATGAACATATTGTCTGCAGCAGTCACAGCCCAGTTTCAGATGGGGACTGGAAGGAAACCAAGAATGAACTGTACAAGACAAAAGCTTGTAAGCGCTTGTGTGTAGTTGAAATCAATAAAACTACTCATGTAAGCAGGCCTTTGCTGGAGCAAAAGGGGAAATTGCAACACAGCTCTGAAAGTGAAAGGTGGGTCAGTTGCAGAGTAGGAATAAAAAAATCAAAAGTAGAAGTGAGCTGACAGAAATGTATGAGGAAATATATCTGTGTTTGTCTGTGCCTTTTGTTTTTCTTCTCCCCAGTATAAAGCAGCTTGACAGGTATGGTCAGCTGATCCTCGCAAACTCCACTGCAGCAGACACAGGTGAATATAGCTGCTGGCTTCAGCTGTGTAATGGTAACAAATGCAGGAAGGATGAGACTAGAACAGGTTCAACGTACATCTTTTTCACAGGTAATTAACTCACTGGGGGATTATTAATGGAAATACGTTTGCTAGTAAGACGGGAATAAAGCTAGATCAGCAATTTCACTGTCAAGATTTTTCTTCCACAATTTTCATCTTTTTAAGTGGATGTTATGGAAGACAGTGCTGGTGAGCAGAAAATTACTTGTTTAGTGTGATTTATGAGTCCATTTTCCCTATGGATTATACTAAATGTGTACCCAAAATAACGCATAATGCAATGGAAAGCAAATACCTTTGAAAATACTAATCTACAAAATTAATTAAAAAAAAAAAAGCTTAATTTCTGAAAGTGCGTCTGGATTAAAAAAAAAAAAAATCTGTGCAGAAGATTCATTTTGTCATGGCATTCAGATGACCACATGGACTCCTCTCCCCCCCCGCCCCTTCTAGTTACCTGCATTGACTTAAAAATCTTGACCTCATTGTTCTTGGTAAGGCCACAATTTCTCCCAAGAGTCTATATAGCATGTTGAGAGGCAAAATGCTCTCAAGTACATGTGTTGGCCCACAGAGCTTGAGGTTGCCTGTAGCCCTAACACTGCATGGATAGGGTCATAGTAGGTAACCGTGCACAGTTTACTCCTACTTGGTACAACAGAACTGAAGTCAAATGGTTAATTTGTTCCTCTCGTGGAAAACATTCTGAATGGTAAAACAACCTTCACTGCCTGATTAGAGCTAAAGCATTCTTGGCTAGCAAATATTTCAGTACAAAATGCTAAGATAGGATTGTTTGTGATATGTTTTGGAGATAAATTAGACCATGACCCTGTGCAGAAGCCATTTATCAGAAGTGCTTAATGTTCTGAGGATACATTCCTTTAGAAAGGCTGGAATAAACTTTTCCGTCAAGTTATTATGTAAATGCTCATGCTGGAAAGAAGAATTTCAGCTTTATATTTCCAAGAAGCATGCCAAATATGGAAATACTCTTTAACTGTCATCCTAAAAGCACTAAATATTTTGGCTACTTAGAGCAGTAAATCAAACATTTTGCCTAAAATCATATGTATAAAAAGGCTGTAGCTCCAAAGAATATCTCTTTCTAGTAGTGCTTATCTTACCAGTGGTGGGTTTTTTATGTGTGTTACCCTTTAAAAGAGGGCAAGTGAACAGAATTAGATCCAGATGAGTATTTGGAAAAGTATTAAACAGGAATTCCAAAGATTTTCTTAAGATGGAAAAAAATCTGATTACAGTAAAGAATACTTTTTGATTTAATGTTTTTAATGCAAGCGACATAAATACATACTCACAAGTTAGAAAAGTTGCGTTTTTTCTTTTGTGTGTGCGTCTTTCAAAGCGAAAAGCTTTGGGTTAATTTTTAATGTTGCCCACAGCAATTTTCTCTTGTCATATGTACTTTCTCTTCCTTCTATTAAACCAAGATGTAAATATTATTCTAACTATATCAACTCTTCTGCACAGATAAAGAGGAACTCTTTGTACCTACTCCCAGTTATTTTGAGATTGTCTACCTGAACCCAGATAAACCTGCAGTCATCCCATGCCGTGTTACTACTCCTTCAGCAAAAGTAACTCTACACAGGGAATTTCCAGCAGAAGAAATTGAAACAGATGGAACTGATATTATTTATGATGTGAAGAAGGGTTTTGTCTACCAGCACCCTACTTCTGATCATAAAGGTATTGTCTACTGCAAAGCAGAGTCACAGGGAGCACCTCAGATTTCCATCAAGTATCACCTACTGTATGTGGAAGGTAAGGTGGAGTTTTCTGTATGCTTACAATAACTCTTGTTTCTTCTGCTGACATTGTTTAGAAAATGATTTTTTTTAAAAAAAAAGGTAAAATAAGTAATGTAATCACGGAGTTTTAAACTCTTGATCAAAAGTGTGTGTGATAAAACTTTGTAGGTTTAAATTCCAGCAATTTCCTAGTATAGAGGGGAAAGTTGCAGGTGTACATCACTTACCTGTTACGTTAAGCAAACTGAGGCAAAAATTGACTCTTAAGTTTTATCAGTGTATTTAACTTCAGAAACTAATTCTCTGTCTTTCTATCAGTTCCCAAGGGCCCACCTTCAACCACAATTGCGGCATCGTCCAATAGAGCAGAAGTCAGTGACAGCGTTCATGTAATCTGCACAGTCCTTGGGGAGCCAGATGTAGATGTGAACTTCAGGTGGCAATACCCAGGACAAGAGGTAAGAGATGTATGCCCTGGCTGAAATGGTTTGTTCTTCGTAAAGGCAATGCTTTGAATGCCAGTCAGTGTCTAGATTTGGAGTAAAGATTCTTTCAGATTGTGGTGTCTGCCTCTTGCTAGCTCAGGCATGCTGGCAGGATGAGCCAGCACATCCCTTTTGAACTTCGGCCCAGCTTTCTCCCGGAGCCCAGAAGTAGCGCAGGAATGAAGCTGGAGAGCTCTACCCATGTTAGCAAAAATCAAGCTCAGCAAAGCTCACTCCTCCCTCAGGTTTCCATTCCAGAGACACTTGGCCTCTGGCAGCATTTACAAAGAAAAGCCTCAGACAAGGTCAAAGCCAGCCAGCGTCAGGAAGCTATTCTAGGGCAAGCCACAAAGCCTCACTGATGCCTCTGCATTTGATAACCCTTCCATCTCTGTGGCTTGGGCACATGAATCATTGCAGCACAGAATCTTTAAGCCTAATTGTTGCCCTCATCCAGCAGCACAGAAATCTGCTTCTGCCCAGCCTCATCTGAGAGAATCCACTGGAAACATCCAGCAAATCTTAGAACTTTGTTGGTCCTTTTTCTTGCACAAAATAAGGTGTATCTGACTATTGATGGCCCCCTCTCTTCTCCCTCTACCCACCCCCACCAGTTACAATAGGGACTTGTTTCTTAACCAGCCTCATCTCTACGGCTGTTTATCCTAAGCAGGCTAGGAGCAAAGGAAGGACTGCTGCTGGAAGACGGAACCCTTCACCAGAGCAAAGGGATCCTCTAGGACCCATGGGTTTGCATTGTGTTCCATTTGCCAGCCCTCCTGGAGCTGGGTTGTCAAAAGACAATGCAGAGGTTGCTAATAAGGTACTCGTACCAGCACTGGTCTCCCTGAGCCAGCATAGAATTAAGTAATTTAACGGCAGAGGTAATTGCTTAAGTGAGTGATTGGAGTTCAGTGCTTACTAGGCTTGAGAAAATTAAAGCCTAAGCCCCAGAAGTTTGCTGTGGCCATTAAGGTAGAGACTGTAGCACTCTGCTGTCATGGCAAGGTGCGTGCCTTTTCAGGGGAAAAATAGTGTGAGGAGAGGAAGTGAGCACAAAAGGGATTTGAACTGCTGGTGAGGGCACTGGGCATGTAGAACCAGGTTTCTAGTCCTTGCTTAGATGTTAGTTTGTTCTTTCACTTCCCTTTCTCCCCTCCACCTCTCTTTTTTTTTTTTTTTTTTTTTTTTTTTTCTGGGTGTCCCTGCTGAGCCTACTGAAGTCAGAGAGTTTGTGAGCAATTACCAACTTCCCTGCCCTGCCCTGTCCTGGCTCTGCAGCCTCAACTGCATTTGGTGGGGAGCTTGGTACTGATAGCATGAATTAGATGATCTGAAGAGTAACTACTGGATGGAGCATCCAAAGAGTTTGGCAGAATTCTTGTTTCTGGTGTCCACTTGAAGTTAGGAAGGAAAGGGATAGAGGTCTAAACGAGCAGAGAAACTTGCAGCTGTTGGTGAAGTAAAAAGTAAAATGCTAGGGAAAACTGAAGTGCCTCCAAGTTTGGAGAGCTGCAGAGCAATAGTGGGTTTTGAGTTAAATGCCCAATGTCTTCCTCTGAATTTAGCTCTTAGCATTACTTCGAGTGAGATGCATCAACAAATGGCAGTGTTTCTATCCTTCAAGGTGGGGCTTGAACTCTGACAGTCTTATAACAATTCACTCTCTTGGGTGGGGAAGAGAAGAAAAGCCCCTGCTGATCACACTAGCTTTGTTCATTGATACGGTTTTCTGTGGTTTTTGTGGGTGTTTTTTTTTTTTTTTAGCTTCCCTTGATATTTGTTTATTGGGTTGTAGTAACTATACAAACCCCAATTCTATGTCTTTTGTAACTAACTGTAATTACTAAGAACAAACAATTGAAGGAATTAAATTCTAGACTCAGCCTGACCTTCCAAAACTGTATCTTACTAGTGTCCACCCCTTGCTGCTTTTACATCTTTCAGAGCTCAATGGCTGCCCAAGCCTGGCTGCTGGCTGTTCTTGGCCCAGTTGCTTCCAGTGGTCTTACAGCACCTGATGCAGCGCTGGCATGTACACTGCAGTCACCCTCTCTAGGACCGATTGAATAGAAACAGCTAAACACATGCAAATTATCTCCCTCGTTTGCTGTGGATACTGCAGATGCAGTGCAGGGTGCACACACTATCAGTGGAGGACTACACCCCCTCACTGCACCCACCTACGGGGGCTGAGAGACTTTGGCCTGGGGCCTGCATCTGCCCTGGAAAGGGCTCATGTGCTTACCCACTGGAGCAAACAGTCTCAGCTCCAGCAGTGTCTGCGGAGTGGCAGGGAAGAATTGTGTTTGGGTTTCTGTCCCAACACAATGATTAAGTAAATGTCAAAGTAGGAGCACTGTATGCTTGTTGGAGACTTAACATTTATTAAGGAAGTATTGACATACTGCAAAGGAAAAAGGCGGGGGTGGAGGGAGAAGAGAGAGGACCATCAGGGATGCTGGTCAGATACACCACTTTTGTGCAAGGAGGAGGACTGACAAAATCCTAAGATTCACTGGATGTTTCCATTCATTGCAGCTGCTTTCAGTGCGGGAGATCAGTGATAGTTTTTGTTCCCCACCACCACCCCACCCAGCACCTGGGCTGTCACATCCCACTTGACCCCTGAGCAGAAGCAGCACTCTGATCCCTGCTTGCTCCTAGGTATGTTGCATTGGAGAGACCCTCGGCTCATCTCTCTAGTCACTAACCTCTCCCTCCTACCTTTTTTCACTCAGTTGTTTTTTTGGTATGGGTTTTTTTTTTTTTTATCCCATCCCTTGCCACTCCCTGACAATTGCATTTGCTCATTCACCTGCTGTGAATGCATACTGATCCACTCCTTAGTATGATTCCCTGAAACTAGCTTCAAAGCAGAAGGCAATTAGTTTGAGAAAAACTGGGCTAGCAGGAACCCAGCCAGGCAAATAGCATCTGCCTTACATGGCCTTTACCTTCACTTTCAGTAGGGTCAGGGAAATTCCACTTGCTATATTTAAGAACTAACTTAGGCTTAAATTAAGTGTGTGGTAGTACTTGATTGTAGGTAGCTCTTGATTTTCAGGCTGGGAACAGGAGGTAGTTAGTGCTCTGTGAGGTAGAGCTCTGCTGGGTGGCTTGATTCCTTCTAAAGGGTTAAGAATGTCTAGATGAGATTACCAGGTTTTCAAAAAAAGTTCTTGCTAGCTGTAAATGCCTGCCGCTTCCTAGACATTCCCAGACTGCAGTGACTCATCCCTAAGCTTCAAGAAGATTGGCAGCTGCTTCTGTACTTGTCATTTTGCAAGTGCGAGGTTGTAGCTTAGACTCTAGATACATGTTGTAACCTACTTAGCCTTTTGCTACTAATAGCTTAAGCCTTGTAGCATTTGTGTTGGTACATGGCTAATCCATCTATTTCATGAAGCCAGAAGAGATGGTTTCCAGGCAGAAACCTCTCTCTCTGTTACCAGTTTTATCCAGGTTATTGGTATAGCACAAGCCAATGTGATTAAAGCTGCTGACTAGCATGGTGGATTTTGGAAGGAAGGAGACTGCCTTAGTCTAGCTTTGGGCCAGTTTCTCTTACCCAGTCCTTTGCAAACTTTTGAGGTGCCAGGGAGTGTGACCTGATAAACAGTCCAGCAGAGAATTCTCTTATAAAAGAGGGGGAGAAAGAAGGGAGGGGGGGAAAAAAAAAAAGCAAGCCTGTTTTAAATAACACCACCACAACCTAAAAAGCATCTTTCTAAGCAGCCTTGTTTATATTTTTAGCTTTGAAGTTACATACACATTTTGGAAAGCATAATGTGAGGATTAATTTAGAAGCATTTGTGAATTGTAACTGCTTGTATGTTATCAAATACAGTGTTCCTGAGACTAGAGGAGGAGAAATCAGTTTGCAACACTCGATTTAAAGCTATTCTCTGTGCTAAAAGAGAACTAGGTAAAGCTTGGTCAACTAACTCATGCCACTGCGGCCTTCCTGTTTGAGACATGCTGGAAGTCTGAAAATAAACTCACACATCTGTTGTGACATCTCCCCCAAGATACCTCACCTATTTGGTCAAGTACCCAGATGCAACCTTAGTAAGCGGCCCACAAGTGCACCTGAGTTCATTCATACACTCCAGGCGGAGCTTTGGCAGCCCATCACTAAAGATCTAGAGTACCTGCATGTAGAGCGGAGGAGCCATTGTATTACCCGTATTTGGCATAACTGACTGGTACGTCAGTGTTTAATGCCGGAATGTTGCTGCAACTGCCAGACACCTTCAGTTTCCTCACTTAAGGCCAACTTTCGGATATAGGCTCCTACTATCTGACCTCTTGCTGCAGGGTTTGATAGGGTAGTGCCACTGAATACACTCTGCAGAATCACCTATTTTCTCATGTAGGTGGTTGTTTTCTTGTTGGGTTTTTTTTTTTTTTTTTTCCTTCTTTTAAACAGTCTGAGAGGCCTGCAATTATCCAAAACTTCTGGAGATTGATAAACAGAGGAACTGGACATACCACAAGAATCTCAAAGAGCGTTCTTGTCATTGAGGATTTTGAAGCCAGCGATGCTGGAAACTACATTTGTATAGCTCAGAACCTACAAGGAGAAACAACAGTAGCTACTACAGTTGAACTAAATTGAGAGGAAAGGCTTCTGGACATAGAATGAACTCTATGTTATTTGACTTTATAGCCATTTATTTTCTTTATTAATGTTTAAATGAAGTTTTCTCTGTCACTGTCTCTTCTCATGTCAATGCATTCCATATTCACTAGCTTGACAGGCCAAAACAGAGTTCCCTATGCTCTGCAGTAGTCAGTTGTGAGTTAGAGAACTACTACGAAGCATTAAAGTTTAAGCCTGAGCATGCATATATACTTATACTTAGCAATAGGTGCTCTTGGGCTTTTCTTTGCATGTGGTCTTTTTCCTCAGACTGTTTCATAAGGTTAACCCGCTGTATGGTTTGTGCCTTTTTTGTGTATGAGAGAACTGAGAGGATATTAAATATCCTCAAAAATCCACCAAGCAGGTGTATCTCTTCTGGTGCTGCTGTGCAATTTTGAAGTTTAGAGTACTGTAGATGTTTAAAACAACAACCAAAAAACCCCAACAAACCAAAGCTTGTTACAGAATTAGCCAAAGCAAATCTTTATTTTGCAAGAATAATTAAACTTCTGAACATTATGAAAATGTAAATGTGCATGTGTATTCATTTCATATACATATAAAGACATAAACACACAAATAAAATTCTCACTCCTGGGGAAGATTAATACTAAACAGATATTAAGGTGCTAGAGGGTATCTATCTCCAGAGACTTGCAAGTGGTTGGGTATGTTGGATTTTCCTTATGTTGCTGCATTCCTACAACCTTATAACATGTAGTTTCTTAGAGTTCACTCCTCAATAGATGTATAGTGTTATGTTTGTTTACTAAATTATGTAGCAAATTACGTTTGCTGAAAGTAAGAGTTGCATTTATTTATATAGTATCATTTACAGAAGAAATAAAACCCAAATGTAACATTAGAATAATGTTCAATTATACAGCAGAATTTCTTCTTAAGTTAATAACAAGTTCAACTCGATTGTGGAAAGATGTTTCATTTACACAGACCTGTAGCTGGATAAATAAGCAACTGCTTCACTCACCCTGGGTTTAGTCACCAATATGAGAAAGAGACATTCCAGAGAAAAGGCAAGAACTTGGTAAGAATGCTGTCAAAATGTCCAACAAGGTTTTTTCTTCCTAGCCTCAAGCAGAGAATCCATGTAAGCTAGAACTTCCAATACAACTCTACTCAGTAGTGTAATTGCGTGATAAAAGTCTTAATGCAAGCCATTTTATTTACAAGGCATGCGAAAACCAGCTTATTCTGAGCATACAAGGAACCAAACCAGGAACTGGTTCCACTTCAATGTCTAGAATTCCTAAAGCTTTCTCCAGGTGAAGGCTTGAAGTAAGCTCTTTGCTCCCGGTAAGTCAAACCTTTGAGCAGATGTGTACAGTACTGTTTTGAGTAGTGATAGCTGGTAAGTACTAATGTAAAAATGGCAGCTTCTCAATAGTGTCACTAAACTGATTATTAGTGTAGCTAAGGAAAACATTCAGCAAGCTTGCTGAAAGTTTTTCTTCAGCATGCAGGAACCTAAAACTATGTAACTGATTTGATAAATATCTACAGTAAAGACTGAAATGGCTTTATGCATGTTTCATGAAATATGCTTCATGGAGAATGCTCCTGAGATGTCTGTAATATTGTTGGCCTCCAGAAACAAGGTAGCTACAACTCCCCCCACCCGCGAAATACAGCAAGCAACAGGACCAACTTCGAGGCTAAGAGGCAGTCCCTTGTTAATCTTTTTTCTCGCTGCTATTAAAAGGTATCAAGAATGTTACACTGTTACCCAAATGACTAAATCAGTGTTACACAATTTCATAGTAATACCTCAAAGTGGTCTTTGTACCTTTTTTTTTTTTAAGGCAAGACTCCAATCTGACCAAGGTAACTTTAATGATTCCTGAGTTTCTGGATGAGGCTGTGCAATGTGTTTATTCCTTTTTAGCATTTTCACTTAGCAGAACAACATATTCCCCTTTGAACTAGAGGAGCTGTGCCAATATCTTAAATTTCAAAGTGCTTTTGAGCCATTAATTCAACAATTGATTTCCTTTAAAATATCTAGCAAGTGGGCGATAGCGTCACCTGTTCAGACTTGTTCAACAGCACAGCGGTTCATATGGTAGCATCGCTTCCTTGGTGACAGTTTGGCAAGAGGGGAAAAGGCGATGATGTAAATCCCTTGCTGCATCATCACTCAAGTAGCCTCCCTCAGGTTTAATGGTTACATGTACTCATCACATGCAGTTCTCAAGGCTGATTGTAACTACAGAAGCAATGCCTTTAAGGAAGAATTTTTGGTGGTTGGTGTCCCCCCCGCCCTGGGCAAACATCAAAATAATTCTTACTGTTGCAAACTATGAGAATTATTTTACTATGTATTTTACATAGTTCTTATTGTACCAAAAGCCTCCTGGGCAGGCCTGATTTTTTTCACACTGATGCAATTACACATTTCCACATAAATGAACAGTGACACAGGGTATGAGAATTAAGCCCAGGAAATGAAATTTAAGTGACTTGTCAAAGTCACATGCCTAAACCTGCCCATATTGTTATTTCTATTTCTGTGCCTCAGTCAGCACTCTGCTAAGACAAGGCAGCAGCTATGGCCAGAAGATATTTGTTTCTTAAGGGTTCAACAATTATTCCAACTTTCTGACAGCCTTTTTAACCCCAGCTCAGCCCTAAATGATTTCCTGACTAAAACTACAGTTTTAAAGATCAGTGGTTACTTACTGTCTAGGAGGAATTTTCCTGCAGGAATTGCACAATACTGGTTTACATGCAAGTGTCTTTGGTATTTGTAATGAGAAACTTCAAGTCTTCAGTTAGCACAAGGAAATGATTCACCTCAGATTTTACAGCAAATATAGTGCAACTCATACAAAGACCTTTAGAGAAAAGTATTGAAGGGAGGTGAACCATGTTATGAATAGTTTGAATGGCAACAACCCATTTGGTACAGATATAAATGTCACAAACTTCCTTTGAAACTTATCATTAGAGTTGGAACTACTAGTTAAGGTTGAGTACCTGAAGAAAAAATCACTTGTTTAATTGCTTGACTAGCACTAGACCTTTGGCATGTATTTGTGGTGAGCAGGTTTCTACGTTTTCCTGAAGGAAACTTGATGCTAAAGAAATTACTAAAAAATACGTGAAAGTTACTGGATTGAACAAAGCCTTTACTAACACATGGTATTTAAGTTAAAGCTTGAAATACTAATACTCAAATGGAGAAAAATATTGAAACAGTGCTTCCAGATGAACAGAATTATTTAATTCTTTCAGACCAATGGGACAAACACTAAACAGGTGTTTCTGTAGTCTAATTTCTATATACAAGGATTCTTCATTCCTTTGTAAGAGCATCAAAGATTCTACTTGCAAGAACTTTAGAGGTGAGGAGTCTCCTGTATTCCGGAGGGAAACTATCAACAAAGTCTTTGTATTATTTACTCTACCATACTTACTTTTCTCTACTGCTAGCCTGGAAAAGCTTTCCCTTTCTGTTACATGAAGGGATACACTATATTTGATCTCCATTTGTATGCACTCTTGTTCATGTTTTATTTGAGGCACTAACATTGCAACTAAGATAACAAAGTCCCTACCAGTGGCTAGACAGCTGTTCTTGTGACATGAGCTGTTAGATTGCTAAACTCGATGTGGCTTTTCTCACACAAAAAAATTCCTGAAAAAGGTAAGCATTTTCATAAAATGAGTCCTATAGGATGCCTTTACCAGGCATATGCACATTGGGTCCCTGTATTAAGCCAACTGTCCTCAAGTGTTTTATTATTGCTTAATTCTGTCATGTTATCTACATGCTTTCCCCCCCCCGCCCCCAACAGCCAACTCAAACTGAGTTGCTAATAATCACAAGCAAGCTCTGTGTAACTTCTACCTACATAAGAGTAGCAAGGGTAGAGATAAAATTTTCTATGGGTTAGCAGTGCAGTGAAGAGAAAAACTTCTCAATCAGTACAAAAAATTTATTTTTTAAGCATTCAGCTCAAATACATGTGATCAAACCTCTTTGACCACAGAAAATCAGAACGTTCCAAGATACACTTTAAGCCAAGTTTTAGCCCACAGAGGATTTTCATAGTTAAATTTGAAACCCCTAGAAAACATTAAGTACTGACACCACTAACAAGTGGTATGTATGGTGCCCTAAAGAGGATTAAGAGAGAGCACAATGTTCCATAGAAATGGCACCCTTAATTTGTATGTTGTGGAAAATTAAGTAGATTTAATGATGAAATAGTCAATCACAAGTTTAATTATATTACAAGTTTACTGTACAAGCACTGTTAGCAGTCTTGTTTATTTGTCTGTGTTCCTCATTACCAGCCAAGATTTTTCAAGTCTTGGGTAAAATGGTGCGAAGTGGTTCTCCAGCTGAGCTCCCTAAACACTTTCCATCCCCTTGGTTCCTGACCCCAAGCTACTGAAAAACACAGGGAAACTCAGCAGATACAATTTACCGTAACAGTTACCTGTATAGCTAGCTAACAGCATTAGCTAAACAGTAGTATAACAATGCTCCTGGAAGTGGTACTGTAAAACCCAACCTACTGTAAGCATCAATACTGTTTTGTAATACTAATTTGAAGTTGAACCTGTGTTTAGGGGGTACAGTGTAGACATCAAACAGGTCTGACCAAGCGTGTAGCAAGGCTACGCGATTACCTTGTTGAAGCTGAAGCTCAGCATGACATTTCCAGAAACACTGACACCCTCAGCCTCCAGTTCCAGCAGCCAGGACAATTTTTTTTTCCTTGCTCTACGGAATCTCTTGTACAGGATTGTTTTGCCAAATGAACTGGCAAAACACCGATATCCTGCAGTCTAAGAGGAGAGGTATGGCCGAATTAGCAAGATAAATACACAGCTACCACCTGCCCCCTCCTCCTGAGGTGAATTTAGCCAACCCTGAAGAATGTTAATACAAATGCTAATGCTTAAAAAGGCAAAGTGTGTCACCAGATACATTGGAATTCATGAAGTAATTAAGATTCTTCTTGAGAACTGAGTTAAGAATGCACCTAGTGACAATTACTGCATTTTTCTCTTTGGCTTTCAAACCTACATCTAGTTTATCCTCAGCAGAGGGCCTCAGCAGTGGACATGCTGTTTTGGGGAAATCAGTGATTCCTTTTCAGCAGGTAAGACAATAGGTCTACACTTCTAAACCTGCAACTCAACTAATAACTTCTGACCTTGAGGGCTACCGTGGTTCTGACTACGACCCTGTTGACTTGAGAGCTAAAATCCACTGTATCCTGAAAAAAAAAGTCTCTCATAAATGGCAGAGTTGTGCATGGATATTAAACCAAGAATCCATGCAAGATATGGCTGCACCTCAGTTTGTTTCAATTTATTTTAAGTTGCATACTCAGGTCAGCCAAGACACTAATGAGTCGGTTGACAAAAGCTTTTCATTCCATTTTTTTACTGAACTGAAGCCAGAAAGATGAAGGAAACCAACCTATAATATTAGCGGCAGCTTCTCCTCATTCCTGGGGGAGGGTACTCTTTGCTAAAAGCATGCATACTGACAACATTATTAAGGAAGTACATGTCAATGTATAGTCTTTAGCTTTTATCCTTTATTACGTACACAGCAAAGAAGGCAGCATTAGACACACGCACAGTGTGTTACATCCATTCCATCCACAGCACACGCACACGCATACACACAGCCTTAAAAAAAGTGTCTGTGATAAGGAACATATTATAAATGTTGTGATCTTTATCTCTAAGCCCCTGAGCTTTTTCCTTATAGTTAGGTGAAAAGGCAATGAACAAGTCTTTCCTTGCTCTTTAAGTGCTTTGTGCAACAATGTCCGCAGAGGTCAAGTCTTTTTGGGAGGAGCAAATGGAGTGTCTTACTCCCATATTCTCAGTCTCTTATTGCCATTTTTGCACCAAATAGTTTCCAGTTATGTTTAGTTGTCAGTCAGCTAATATAGCTCTTGCTCCTGTGATTAAAGTTAGGATCAGTTCTGCAGATCACAAAGGAAATGCAATCCCCTCTTTCTCTCAAGAGGTGTCATCTCGGTGATACTGTAGGACTAGAGAAGTTACCAGAATTTCGTGGGGACTGAAGAGGCATGGATGTAGAACTGGGAGACAGTTTTCTTGGGCTGCATAGGTCGCCATTGTGCAACTTCCACAGAAGTTCTTCATTTTCCATTGACAGGCGTTTGTTTACTTTTGATTCTTTCTCTAGCGACTCCTGTAAAACGGCTTGCTCTGTAGAAAGTTGCCTGCAAACGCAAGATTTACATCAGAACACATAACCCAAGGTGGAGGCTACAGTACTGAACTTCATTGTTAAAGACAGGTTTGAAATTGCATAAACCCCTACTTGGCTTACGACGCAATTACTTCTTACTTCCCTAAAATGAGGACTTAACATGTTGTCATCCTTGCTGGATTTAAACTGGCAGCTAGCAGAAAGCAGGAGAAAGTCCCAATAAGAAACATTCCTAAAGACCAGAAAAAGCATCTGAAAAGTGAGACCTGTCCTACGTGCAGTGACAGATGCTTTTAAATGGCCACGCTGGAGCCTTTGGGTCTTGTTGCAGGCTCAGCTCTACGCAGAAGCTGCATTTCTTTAGGTTCCTTCAAACTGGAAAGAGTTTGCCCATCTGTTTAAGCAACAGTTGAAGTTAGGAGAATCTCAGACCCATTTTATTTATGTTAAATATTGCTATTATTGCCAAATAAAGCACACTGGTCTTTTCACTGATCTAAATTGGGGACAAATTGCTCAACTGAAATGGTTGTAAGTAAAACTAGGTTTAGCTCACAAGCCAGTAATACTTAAATAGCCAATCTATAAGAAGATGGTATATCTGAGTTGCTTTTTCTTCCCTGAAGTATTATTTTGGATCACTGAAGAACTTACTGAGCCTTTACCCCCTTACAATCTGTTCCTGCTTGTTCTTCTACATAGGAATGCACATTTATAGCAATACAAGTGGGGAAGAAAGGGGTGTGTTCTTTTACAGAGTACTACAAAATCCCAGTCACTAATATTTACACAGAATTTTCTTTCTTGCCACAGGAACACCTTTCCCTAGTTCATAAGAACATCTAAAAGTCCACAGATATTTTTCACCTTGAAAGCTCCATGTGTTTGTCCATCCGAGCTTTTAATTCTTCGTTTTCTTGCTGAACCTTCTTTAATTTCTCCATTAAGATTGTATTGTTCTCCAGCTTAGGGGGAGGGAGAAAATAAAAAAAACCGAAAACACAAAATACCACAGTTTAAAACAAAACCCATACACGCACTCATTGAGATACTGACTGAGCTGTCACAGCCATTCATAATCCGGAGTTTGCAGACCTTGTTACGGTAAGTGCAAAAACCTAGAGTAATGGGAGACTGACCTGCTATCACAGCTTAATATTCTGTAATTGTCAGACAGATCCTACTTACCTTATCCTTGCATAACACTGGCATTTTGCCACTTGTGCTGATTTGATGCCAACAAAGGAGGACTGGATAAGGGATCTACTAGTTAACCAATACGTTCTAGCAACTTCTGCCAGTGAGGGGCAGCAGTTTTAAAAGCTGTTGCAGACAGAAGACTGTCTAGAACTAGCATGCTAATGTGACAAATTCAAGAGCTTCCCTGTGTAAACAGCGCTCTCTTGCTCTCCCTGTTGCTCCACTGATTCCACTTCATTGCTACAGGATGTTATCAAAAGTTAAGGAAAAACAGTGATTAAATGGTTGGATGGTCCAAGGGCTTCTATACTGTGGCCAACATCTGTCAGAAAAGATGAAGCTTTACTAGTGATTTACTAGTAATAGTAGTCCAGGGCAACATATGATGCTGTACAATACTGAACAACTGACATGAATGTATTCCTTTGTATACAAACCTCTTTCTATCCTTCCTCATTAAAATCTTGCTTAAGCATGTTATTACAACAGTGTTCAAAAGCCCCAGCCGGGATAAGGACCCTGTCCTGCCACAGATAAGAGCATGCGAAATAATTACAAGTTCTGCCCCCAAAATTGCCTTTTCATGTGGAATTATGCACAGATCAGGAGCAAATCCACACAGCTAAACAAGCAGCTTAAGGATAACAGCAAAAATGTTTGATCTAAGCTAATCAACTCTAGATGAAAACATTTATTCCATTTCGTATTCGATCCCTTCGTGTTTAATTAGGATCATTCCCATGTTAATGTTTTCCTGACAGTGCAGTTTATCTTCCATAACACTCAAGCCAATGCAGCAGGTAAGGACTTTTTTCTTTGGGGCATAGGGGAGAAGAGAGGGAAGAGGAAATGAGATGTGGAGGCTCCCAGATAACCCCGTACTATCTTAGCAATAGTTTGTGCAAACCAGTAGTTGTCTTAAGAGGTTAAAAGGCCATTTACAGCATCTGGCAATTCCTTCCCTCTCTTTACATTACAGCCCAATGCAGATATAATTGTACCTGCAAGGTAAGTGTGTCCCTTCATAATTTTGTATTTCCTTTTGAACAACAACAACAACAAAAGTAATCCTTGCACGTAAGTCTGACCAGCCCAAGTTCATTATCAGAACATAACTCACAGACACGGTCCAAACCTGCTAGACCCCAAGGAAAACTCACCAGTTTTTCCATCTTCATTAGCTTTACGTCCTGCTGATGGAGTTTCTCATTCTTGATCTCCAGCACTGCTTTCAAACTTTCCAGCTCCTGTTCCAGATACATAATTTGCGGGTTTTTCTGAAAGATTTCCAGAGAGTTTGCTTAGTACCCTGAATTTCAGGAACAATTTAAGTGTTTCTCTGCTATTTAGAAAGAGCAAGGAAACAAATACGGTAACAGCAGTTGCTTGTTCTAAGTGCAATCAAGACAGACAGCTCTGAGTAAGAAGAAGATCCGCTACCACTTTCTCCTCCGATTTTGTTTGTCCTTTGCGGTAAGTGGACAGTTACATTTTCCTTAGCAGCTGTTCAGAAAACACTTTATGCACAAATGAAAACACTTCATGCACAACGTGAAAACCCCTTGTGAGTCAAAAGAAGGCACTAAAGCTGTCACAGCAAAACTTGTTTTGCAGGAGTACCCAAAGGCTCCCTTTAAGGCTAGGAGTTCCAAAATTTATTTCATATTACTCATAACCCATCCCAAGAGATAATTAGAGTAAACATTTGAAGAGTTTTCAGGTGCTGGAGTAATTCGAAAAAGCACCAGAGATTTAAAGCTATGAACTTGACTGTAGCTGATTTTCTCTGTTTTGAGTCTGAAGGTAGCTGGTTCATAAGCAGAAATTGAAAATTTTCTTTTATTATGTTCCTGTTACAGCCTAGCAATGCAATTGCACGTAAACATCTTGCACTGCTGTACATCCATGACTTATCTACAACACAGCAAGTTAGGACTTTCTTTTTTATTTTGACTTTTTTTGTTGTTTTCCAGGAGATGAAGGGGAGAGCAGGAGCGGGACAGGGCAGGGTCAGATCTGACTTCCTCAAGGACCTCCTTTCCAGAGCAAGGAACTATTCAAACACTGCCAAGTAAAACATATTCTCTACATTTCAAAGGCAAAGTCACAGGCAAAAATAAGGAGAAATAAAGCAAGTCTCAGTCCATTTCCAGGTAGTCTGAGTGGAACATAAACAGAAATGAATCAATGATTAAGTGTGTTGTGTAACTAAGTTTATCTTTAAAAAGAAACAAAACTTGTTTTAGGGTATTTGGGTAAGAATACTGGTGTACCGCACTGAGTAACAGCTTCGCTGCTGCAACAGAAACATAAGACTCCGTGGGCAACGCCTGCATTTTCGTGGGGTGTGGGCCCACGAGGACAGCGCCGGTACACTTCACAGGTAACGAGGGTCTCACCGCCTACACGTTTCATTCTCCTGCCTGTTTTTAAGGACTGTGGCATTAGTGATTCTTGTTTAATTTCTACTTTGGAACAGAAGTCTGTGTGAGGGTGGGGTGTATTGTGCTGCCTCAGAGGAGGCGGCAGACATTTTGAACTTCATTCCTCCCTTTTGTGACTTTACATGGAATCTAGGAGCTAGCAAGAAAAGTGATCCTGAAAGTTTAAATGCAGCTTACTGTATGTTCAAATTTAAGTTTTTTTTTTCCCCCTTCTGTCCTCTGCCCCAGTGGTCTTGAAGTTTCTTTTTAAAGTTAAATCTGAGCTACCGCATTAGCTACTCGGAACACAGAGCCAGATAAACAGACTGAAAGGCCTAGATAAGATTTTAGCAAAAAAGCCAGGAATATCAAGTGACACTACCTACATAATACTGGAGAGTTGGACATACACCTCTGTCTTCAAAGGGATAATGGGAATTCTGATAGTGCAGAATTTGTGTTTAGTACAGAAGAATATACTAGGTCAAATCAGTATTTTTCCATAGAGAAGCCTCAAGCTTATATGTCTTATGCTGTCAGAATGCAAAGTGCATTTGGAACTATGTAAAGGCTCTTGACTATTGCTCCTTTAAATTAAACAGCATCTGAGCACGCCTATGTAACACAGTTCAAACTCCCAAGTGCAGTGTACAACACGTTCTCTTTGGTATCATCTCTCCTAACCACAGCAATATATTACGGTTGCAGATTGTTCTTGTGGCACCTCTGTCCTGCCACTAGAATAAGCAGTAAGAGAGAAAAAAAAATTAAATGCCAGTGAAAACTAGGGCACCTTCTACTAAAAGCATCCTAAGTGAGTTTTTAAGTGCGGAATTTTTCTTTGTGGGATAAGCAGTACTAGTGGTATTCCAGTTATTTCCAGGTAACTGGAAAGATTAACATGTTTGTGTCTAACCCTCCCAGTGCATGAAAAACCTCTCTGAGCACATTTCTAACAAAGGAGCATCAGAGGTAACAGCAGCCTTGGGAGGAAAGGCAGGACAAAATAAAAAGTTTATCTAAAGAATAAATCAGCAACAAATATGAATGAATGTTTGAATAAATGCATTAAAGACTCAAGTACAAGAAGTGAGTTTTGTAGTAGTGATGTAAGCCCACACCAATCATAGCACCGTTAGAACATTTATCGACTGTCTAGAAGAAAGCTACGGTACCAATTTTGCGTACATGTAGGTCTTCAATTTAATTTAAACTATAACTTACACCACTGACTTAGATATTCAACAGCTTTATAGATTTATATTGGTAAGGTTAATACACAAGATTGTAGTGCTTGAGAAAAACTCCTGGCAGGCAAGCCACTTACATAAAATATTAGTAAGTATGGGAGCCCTATCAGGCTTGACTGCAAACCTTTCATATTATGCAATAAAATAAACCCAGGCTTACAAGATCTGCTCATCTGCACTACTTTCAAAGATCAAGACTTACAAGACTGGCTTTTTCTTTGGCTATTTGTTTTTGCTCTTCTAATTTCAACTTCTCACTCAGAGAGTCGTTTTCACATTTCAATTCATCAATTTTTTTCTGAAATAAAAAGATATGGTAGAGTTAGACCAAGAACTCAGTGCACATCTCCAAAATGCCTTTTAAGTTTTAGACTGTTGCAATGACCCCAACCCTTAACAAACCTCTAGCAATTCTTGCTTCTCTTTAAAGGAATATTCAAGCGACTTCCTTTCAGATTCATGGGCACTCTTGAGCTCTGCAACAAATTATTTTTGCAGATTTTTAATACCACATAAGACATAAAAATTCTTTTTGAAAAGCAGCAGCACAAAAAGCCAGCCAATACACATATGCACAGATGCAGAGTCAATGACAACATGGAAAGAACATTTATCATCAACTGATCAAAAGCATGTACAGAGTGTCAGATTTATTGCCGCTTCAGATTTGTTGATTGTCCCCTCGCATACCCATTTCATTAGTTGACAGCACATCAATTTTGAAAGCATTCATCTACATGCAACAACTGGGTGAACTGAGCACACGAACCACATCTGACGAAAGCTGAGTTTCTGATGGGAAACACAGCAAAAATTGAAATGATCTTCCAAAACCTTCTAGAAAAACATTTCCTTTCCTACTTTGGGGATGTCACAAAGAGGAGTTTGCTCTTTGATTGCATTGGAAGCGTCACCAGTTCTAATGACGCAAAAGTATCACTGGAAACTTGGCTATCAAGTGGAGTTGGAGGGAGGATGGAAATCATCATCACTTAAATCTATTAGATGCAGTACCATTTAAAACTGAGCACACTCACCACCCCCTCCCTGAAAAACAACCTTTGCCCTAGTATACTGCAAACAGCGTGTGGTATTTCTCAACATTCCCATGTCAGTCTAGAAAGCACACAACCCTACTTATCCTCAATTTCAATTTTGAGGTGCTCCTTACAGAAATAAGGGGGGTGGGAGCAATTACTCATTAACTTTAGATTTTGAGGGCAGACTGCAATTCAGACATCTTTTACTGAAAGAAAAAGTTGTCTCCAGTCTTAAACTGTTTTAAAAGTTTCATTCAACTACAATGGGATGGTGGTTATTTCTGTACTTAGAGTGAGACTTGTTCAGTTCCAAAAGAAGGAATTCAGCCAATGTTTTTAAAAATAGCTGACTGGCAAGAACAATGAAATGGACATATTGATGCAAAAGTTTGAATATTTTTGTTTGTGACTAGCAGTACTAAAGCATATGTACCTGAATACAAAATACTTGCCTGAAAAAGAGGATTCATACTCCTTTTTCAGCTCCTCTACTTTTTCTGAGTGGCTGTTTTCAAGTTCCAGCTTAAAGTTTTCATGTGTGATATTTAAGTTGTCCACCTGCAACAAGACAACGTGATTCCCCCTGCCCCCAGGTGTCAACTTAACCCTTGTTTAAAGTACTGTTCTAAGGGCTTTACCCAGTATGTCAAGCATGTTTTAAATAGTCTAGGTAGTACTTAACAGATAGTCACAGGAAAAGCTAAGCACACAACACTTTGTCGTGGTTTAGCCCCAGCCAGCAACTAAGCACCACGCAGCCGCTCGCTCACTCCCCCTACCCTGATGGGATGGGGGAGAGAATCGGAGGAGTAAGAGTGAGAAACACTCCTGGGCTGAGATAAGAACAGTTTAATAATTGAAATAAAGTAAAATAGTAATGCTAATAGTAACAGTATAATAATGATAATAATAATAATGATACACGAAGCAAGTGATGCACAATGCAATTGCTCACCACCCGCCGACCGATACCCAGACAGTTCCCGAGCAGCGATCGCTGCTCCCCGGCCAACCCCCCCCAGTTTATATACTGAGCATGACGTCATATGGTATGGAATAGCCCTTTGGTCAGTTTGGATCAACTATTCTGGCTGTGCCCCCTCCCAGTTTCTTGTGCGCCTGGCAGAGCATGGGAAGCTGAAAAAGTCCTTGACTAGCATAAGCAGTACTCAGCAACAACTAAAAACATCAGCCTGTTATCAACATTCTTCTCCTACTAAATCCAAAACACAGCACTATGCCTGCTGTTAGGAAGAAAATTAACTCTATCCCAGCCGAAACCAGGACACACTTAATAGATGAGAACGATGCCTTACAGTTCACTGCTACCAGCGGGATGATGTATGCATCTGTCACACACATGGAGTTGTTGCAAAGCAAGGTCACAGGCCAGGGGAGTCTTTATAAATCTTAAAGCTTAAGCTGCCTCAAATAATCCAGTGGAGCTCCAAAAGTCACTGCAGCTTGCAGAACACAAGGAATCTCCACCATGTTTAAACACAAGCTTAAGATCTGGACAGCTTAGCGTGGTAATATTTTTATAGTTAGAACAAAGTGGAGTTTCACATTAGGTAAAATAACCCCATTATTAATCAAAAAACCAGTATTATCTGAAGACTTATTTGTAACAGAAAGCAATTGCTAGAGAACATTTCTACTTTGTCACAAACCTGCTCCTGGAGTTGCGCTTTGTACTTTTCGGCTTCTTCAATGCAAATACTTTGGAGTTTCTCACATTCTGCAGTGTAAAACTGTTTAAGCCTCTCCTCCAGCTCAGCTAAATCATTGTGATGTTGCTGGTTTAACTTCTGCAAAAATCCTTCATAAGCAACTTGCAGTTCATTCCTGTCTCTCTCCAATTTCTCACAAGCTGCAGAAGTGGTTACTGAAGATGTCAAAAGAAAAAAAAGTAATTGGATCAAGTTCAATGCTAACTTCACCATCTTTGTTACAAGTATTAAAGATAGCGAACACTCTGCACAGCAAGTTATACAAATATAGTTTATCCATGAAATGAGTGCCACCTCCAAGGACAAACATCTTTGCAAAAATACAGAATTCAGTGTTTCTTATACTGATAATTAATTGAATCTAGTTAACCTAGGAACCCATATAGAAAGCACAAGCGTGGCAGTTTGTCATTAACACAGAAGAATGAATGTCTCATGAGAGACAATGGCGTGCTCCAATAAAAAAATTAATTGGATTTGCTACTTCACCTAATTTCATCCCATTTCAGTAGCATATTTGTCAGAGTACTTCACTTTTTGACATATAAACCACTTAGCTAAATTTGAAAATCTTAATACCCTGAAGACCATCCATTCAACATGTTACTCACACTCAGATATGCAGCAGAGAAGCAATTCTAGCCTGACATGGACTGCCCATGGACTGAGCGATACGTAACTGCCAATCTGAAATGTACTGCTAATATGCATATGCCCAAGGTATTTAAATATGCAAGATACAGAATAGTTTCACCAGAAAGTGCAAAGTATTAGGAAAACAGAAAGAAATGCTGTGTAATTCTCTTTATATTAACACTGGTCAGCTAAGAAGACTACCTAGGTTTGTCTCCCCATATTTACAACTGATTAAAAGGCAAAACAAAAGTTAGTAACTTGTACTTTTGAGTTTGAAACTTCGCATTCCCAGCTCCAGCCAGCCAGGCCTGAATAGGAGGCATAATTTTCCTACTGTTAACATGACTGGAGCAAGCGCCTTATGCAGTTCCAGCTGCATCTAAAGCCTGGAAGCAAGGTGAAACAGGACCTCGAACACAAGAGTGTGGTCAAAGCAAAACTGCTTCTATACAGACTCTAGTGCTTTGTTTTAAAATAAGTTAGCCAGCTGAGTGTCTAATTAAGAGAAAGATCAACTAAAACATTAACTTGATCTTGAATCAAATACAGCAGAAGTCATGCATACATGCATTTTATAGCAGCTTGGCACACTGCCCAAACAGTATAAATATCAACTCTATGTAAAAGCATGGGAAGATTCAAGGATTTTTGTACAGGCGGTGAAGGAAATTTTCACTACAGCCGTGACTGAGCCTTAAGATACATAAATTACAGTATCTTGAAGGACCAATTCCCAAAGCAGCAGTGGGCTCTGCTCTAGGGAAAGCAGCCTGCCCCAGCAGAGCGCCTCAAGTGACGCACGTGTCTGTCAGATGCCCTCTTTGCTACGGCTCATCAAGAGCAAGTGAGTAACTTCACGACTGATACTTGCACTCTCTTAAGGAAACTGAAGAAGTCTTGGCCCTGCTGCCATTACTTGGAACCTGCAGTTGAACTAGAAAGTGTAAGAGTGAGCTGTACTGCATGGAAATCAATCTGCATGTGCGTCTACCTGAATTTGTTTTAACAGGAGGCTTAGCTCTGCGCTAGGTCTGTGTGAAAGATCTGCTGATCAGGACAGATTCAAGCCACGCTGTTCATCCCGTGACTGGCAACAATGCAACTAAAGGCTCAACTGAAATGCACCACACAACCCAGGGAAGTGCTTGAGTCACCATCCCTGGAGGTATTTAAAAAGATACGTAGATGTGGTGCTTAGGGACATGGTTTAGTGGTGGACTTGGCAGTGCTAGGTTAATGGTTGGACTTTACGATCTGAAGGGTCTTTTCCAACCTAAACAACTCTATGATTCTCTGCAACCCAAGCAGATTTCACAGTTTTCTATACTTTCCATACCACCATCAAGAAAGATTTTTATTTCCTCATCTTTATTCCTTCCACAAACTTCTATTATAACTCATCCCTTTAGGGAAAAAAAAAAAAAAAGGAAAAACTAGCATTTGCACTTCTATTGCATCTCATTGGCATAACGTTATTGAATATATATGCTTGTATTGTCACGTTTTTGGGGAAGAGGAAACATCATAGGCAAGGGACATTATTTTATAACGCAAAGAACCAGGCAACGAGCCAAATGGAGACATTACACAGCCAACCACATGCAGAACGGATCTGACCATCTATAGCAGAGTAAGAGGGGTATAGCTGAGAGGCAGGCAACTCACATGCCTCATTTGAGATAACTGTAGCAAAATGCTTCAAATGATCCACTTTAAAACCACCAGAGGAAGAAGCAAGCACCCAATTCTTTATTTGTAAGGCCAGAGCCATTTGTCTCCATTTAGCTACAAGAATGTGCTGCCTATCACTGTCTTATCTCTAAATGTCAGCACACAGAACTTCAGATGATGCAAAACACTTCAGAAATAAAAAGCAAATAGCAAACCACGCCTTTGTCAAAGAAAATAGACACATAAATTCTTGTTCCACCAGTTTGCAATTGATATTCATGATAAGACTAATTTTACAACAGCAGACCAAAACTTTTAAAACTTGCACTGGCAGTTGAACGTTGTGTTACCTTGAAGGTAATGCCCGGCTTCTGCAAAGCCAGAGCTGCAGTGCTTTCCTGCGGACCGCAAACCTGACCTGAATCCTTGCCATCCAAACAAGGAGCAAAACCACCATACCACCAGTAAGCTCCCAGTATCATGGTGGTGCAAGAAACTGTGCATGTGAAGCTTCAGCAAAAGCACCACCTGAAGAACTGTCAATTTGAAATTATCATTAATTCCTGTAAAGCAAAATTTGTCCCCATGCTTGAGATTCAAGTGTAAGCAGCAAGTATTTTGCACAGCTCTATCCATCTCCAGACTGAATCATGTATTTTATGACTGTACTGCCTTGTTTTAAGAAAGGGACAAGCCATGAAAAAGGCAACTAATTCCTCAGTTCGGCCACTCATCCACTGCAAGGGGATGCTGCAAAACTCCTGACTAACCAAACTTGATGGCTACTCAACTTAAAGAGTTTTCTCATTGAACCGGTGCTTAATTTTGAAGAAAAATTTGTAACTGGAACGTGTGCTCGTCCAGTAGCACACACAAAATCTCTATTTCAACTTCCCATCCACTTCAGAGGCACTTGGAAGGGCATGCTTCAGAGTTTTCGTATGCGACTACTGTGCTTCCTTTCCCTTCTTAGAGTGCTTCCCTCCACAATTCTGCATCTTAATTATGCCACACATTATAAGAGACCACAGACCTTCAGCAAGAAGACAACAGGAGACAAATGGTCCAACAGCATTTGAGAGAAAAATCGAGCCATATAGATGAAAAGATGCACTATCCATTTGTCCATTAAGTTTGTTCAATCTCATCTGTAACACTAAATAGTTTTAAGCTTTAAGGACAGAGCATATACAATGGTGTGCTTGGCAGCCAGAAGCAAGATTTACTTCTCTATTCAAATAGCAAAGCTATTAATATTTTTCTTCCACTTGCTTGTCCCAGCCTCTCCTCCCAATCATACAACACTGTCTCTCCCTATATTATTACAACAGGGAGCAACATTAATCTGTATTCTTAGGCTTCTTAGCACCTGTTTATTATAAATGAAGAGCCTGGTTCTTTTGGGCAGAACCACGACCTCTGGCAATCAGAGGAAGTTTCTGAGATTTGGTACCAGTGTAGCTTCAGATCAGAAAAGCTATTTCTGACATGTAAAATTAACATTTGTCTGCAGTAGTTAGCAATGGCCGCTTGCATCTTGGGTATTTCATTGCAAAGCTTTATATGTGCCAGAACTCCCCGCAACAGTTCAAACAGGAGCAGATCCAAACCACATGAGTAGTAGCACCAGCTAAAAGACAGGACTACAAAAGTGGCCTTAGTATCCCCTATTTCATATTTTCAGTAAAAGTAGTCAAGAGATAAGAGCTTACGATTGTGCAGTATCTCCTTCTTACAAAGTTTAGTTTTTTCTTATTCTAATTATAAAACAATTCATCATCCAATTCAGTCCTTATGGCTAAACTGCTTACAGAAAAACATTTTTCAACTTACATTCCCCTAAAAGTTGCCATAACCATAGCTCTAAGCAGATAAAACGTAATGGATCTTTTTTTGAATCCTGAATTGAAGTGTTTTGAAACAAAAGTTATCTTCACAAAATTGTCTAAGTCACTCACTGGTCTAGCTACGATTTATGAAAAGCCATTCGACTATCTGACATTTTGAAACAGGTCACTAGGACAGTAAACTAGCAGCATTTTAATAGACAGGGGGATGTGAAAAGGGGATAATTATCTGAAAACATCAAATATTTAGCATGGTGTTATGTCACAGCACATAACACTTTATTGCTCTTACTTTACCTTTCACATTGCAAGATCTATTGTATATGTTCTGTTGATTGGCAAGCCTAGTGTAGACAAAGGCTTATTTCCTTCTCCATATGCTATTTTTTAAAAAAAAATTTAATCTAATAATTAATTCATGGTTTTGGCAGATTCTCAATATTGGAAACTCTTCTACCCAAACATGCTTTCAAGTTTATGACCGAGTGTCTCCCGGTGTTATGCTTCTATAATGACACTAACAGTACAGGATGTTAAGCCACATTTCATATTTTTGTTCTTAGGCAAGTAAAAACAAGGCAGGTAGACCAAAAAAGCATGCTTTAAGCTACATTTAAGTGTGTATGGTTGAATACATATGCGAAGCATTCATTCAGATACCTGCCAGGAGTAAGTTCCTATCCTCTAATGCTGCAAGCACTACAGTGTCAGCAGGCAGGCAAGCATATGACTTGTGGCAAGTTAGGCCCTGCCCCAAATAACTGATAGAAATGTCTACCTACTATGAAGTTTTTTTAAGGATCACCAAAACCCAAAAACCACATTCACTCCATCTGTCCATAAAACACAAGAGTCTTTTTTTTTTTTTTTATCCCAACCTCCAAAACATTTTAAAGGTCATTTATTAATAAAAAGTAGCATGAAGGTATTTAAAAAAAAATATCGTTTATCAATTGCAATGCAGCAAATAGAGGGGAGAGAGAAGCTGGGCATTTGGCTGGCTGTACAGGATACACGCAAGCCTCTCCAGCCCACTGAAAAAGGCTCACGAACAGCAGTTTTCAAAGGGCCGAGGCAGGCATGGGCTGAGTCAGCTCTGCACCTGCTGTTTTGTAGCAGGACTGAGCTGGATCATGTCCAGCACAGTTGCAAAGAGGCTCCAAAACAATTTGGAGTGCAATTAATTTAGAGGAGTAGTTTCATACCTCTCAAGAAGTACGCAGCTCTTGCAATTTCTACTTACGTAATTAAGCAGGTAACTAGAAATAATTTATGCACTAGCTTGCATCTCAGTAAGAAGAGAAACAGGTGACAAACAGGACATCTGTACCTGGTCCAGGCTCCCAGAACCAAGGTGTTTACATTCAAACCACAAAGTTTAGTCTTTGTGGCTCGAGACTTTAAGGAAACCCAAGGTCAGAACCTGACTGTTAATGGATTTGAACTCCTTTAGAAAAGCCCATCCGCACACACATCATCACTGCTAACCCCCACACGTGTTTCCAGCTACCAAGAGCAGAAAGCAGCGTCTGGTAACCATCCTCCCCATGCTCTGCATGGCCACATGGTCCCTGCCAAAGGCAGGTTTTGGGATCATAATGCAAATTTAAATCATTAAACAAAAGGTATTTTGGTAGAAAGGGTCATACAGAATAACCTAGCAAAACTGGCAATTTGGCTGCAAGCCAATTTGGTTTTGCAGGGTAAACCAAGAGGCTTGGGAGCACACACAATCACAATGCAAAGCAAGAAATTGAGGAGTCCAAGTGTGCAGGGCGCAAGCTGCAGGAGACTTCACATTCCTCTCAAACTCAGCAACATGCAGGGCACAGACTACACCGAGCCCGGCACACCGGGTTCCTCTTCCTAGACTGCCTGTTCCCAAACTGCAAGGCAACATGCATTAAAAACACAGCAACTCTGACTCCACAAAATGTGTACATGTCCACACAGCCAAAATAAGATTAAAACTGTACTTCACTTTCTGAGCCAATCTGTGCCTACATCATACTGTGAATCAAAATTCACAGTACTTGCAGCAAAACAGCCTATGGAAATCTTAAGTTCTGCTATATCTATTTAACAGTGGCAATAGAAAGCTGATTAGCAGGTGTGTATTTAAACAGATTATTTTCAGCTGAAGCTACCATTACAAGAATGCTTTTCTCACACCTTGTCAACAAATGAAGTCTGTCTGGCTTACTTTATTCATTTAACTTTTTCTTTTTTAAAAAAAAAATCTTTTTAAAGCTAGATAGAATCGAAGACCCGTGTAGTTTCTCATTTCTGCGATTAAATCCACTTCCTTTACATGCTGAGGAGTACAGACAGGCTAGACATGTGACATGGTTAAGACAAAGGAGCTGCATGAAGAGAAAAGCTTCACTGAAACCATGGTCTGGAAACCTTACAAAGGGAAGCGAGCCCGAGGCTGCCATTCAGATGCTCCTGCAGAGCTGACCCAGTAAGATCAGCTCTACGAGGGGAACAGCCGACAACCTCCTCCAGCATCGCTGGCTGACAGCTCTGTGCACTCGGCTGTCACAGATCCATCAAGCTCAGTTGCATCTGATGTTTTTTTTCTGGTTATCAACCTACTGAATGACATATTCTTGCCATGGGAGGCTCACATATTGAGCTCAGCAGGCTGTTAAACTCGATACCTTCCTGCTTTGATTATGGGAAGCTCATTTAAGAGTGAGACACTCTTAGAACTAAGCTTTTTAAAAAAAAAAGTGGTAATGGGTAAAAGTGCTGGCTAGCTTTTGGTCTGCCTAAGCTGAATTTTCCCTCTCCTGATAAGTGACATGGTACCTAGGTTGATAAAGGAAAAATAATATTGAAGATGCAAGCACATGGAAGAATAGGGGCTTTCTTCATCTGATAGCAATCCTCCTGAAGTCATTTTCATGCTAAGGTAAACAAATGGGTTTACCCAGAAAGTCACCTGTATGTACATAAAAGCAATAAATCTAGTTTATAATGTGTACAACACAGCT